AACTGGCTACAAAATGGATGAAGGCCATGGCAGAGGAATGCTTTGATCAGAATAACTAAAAAGTAAATAATATATCAATATATTCATAAATAATGTATTCATCTGTAATGCATTCATTAAAAAACTAGGGTTATAAAGTTATTCACAGTATTTTTTCAGTATACTCAGGTGCTTAAGAGAATGTTTCTACATGAAGAGAAACTGGAATGAACATGAGCTTGAGCTATTCAAATTCATGTGCAGAAACAGACCAACTTACGCCTCACCTCGCAATGGCTGATCATTGAATTTTATCATTAAATCACCCTCAGATTTCCAATCATATTTGCTGTAATTGACTTTTCCTCTGAAAGGTTGGGTATTTAAGACAGTGGAGGGAACATAATGCTGCACTTGTTGGCACTTGAGGATCTGAACATCAGCCACATTCTCTCTCACATTCTTATGTCACCTCATTCTGATGTAAAACATAATCATTCTCATTTATTCCATGGCTAAGCAAGACACTTGTTAAAAGATTGCTTGAACAACACTGTAACCTGTTCAAGAGATGACAGACTCTGTGTCTGCATAGAGTAAAGGGACATCTAACAACAGCACTTCCCTGCCTTTCTTGGTAAATGTCAGGTTTTTACCCTGGCTTCCTCATCTCATTTTACAGTATGTGTAGAATGGGAATGATTAGAATGACATAGACAGATATGACATGGGCCCACTAGTGTACTTTCTGCTCCACAGTTCTAGACTGGCGCTTCTGTGACCACCTGTGTGACCACCTGAGTCTGGCTGCTTATGGACCTTTTGCTTTTTGATGATCTCCCATGGGAAGTCCTCTATTGGAAGTGGGCTGGCAGGGCTGCCTGATCCCTCTGGCGTACTTTCGGGAGTTCCCTCTATAATCTCAATTCGGGGTGGGTCCATCAAGTCCATTATGCTGAAGGGTGCTGGCTCTGGTTGGCACATCACTGACTTGTCCTGTGTATTCTGTCGAACAGACCAACTTGAGCCTGCTTGAATTCCTATGGACACTCTGTCATCTGTTTGTGTAGTGCTGTCACTGCAAGGCTCCCGGCACAAAGTCCACATATTGTAGCACTGAGTAAAGTTGAAGAAGTTGCTGTTGAAAGTCTTCAATTCTCCACAGACATCTCTACGCAGCTCTGCCAGCTCATAGCGCATTGCTGAGATTTCATCCTTCCACTGCATATTGAAGGCAGCAACCATGTTAGCAGACTCCTTAAAGGCCTGAATGGCCTGAGGGACTGGCGGCTCAGAGGTGGCTATGGGTGAGGCAGTAGGGACCCTGTATGAAGGTGGGGATGCCGGTGGGACAGAGATGGCTGTTACGGTGGAGCTAGTACTGTGCTGGCTGCGAGCAGCAGCAGTCTCTCTCTCCAGCCTTTCCAGCTCCGCATAGGCAGAGGAGCTAGCACCGTCATCATCCTCTATCATGTCGTCATTTAGTAAAGAGGTCCCATCCACAACATCATATCCCTCTGGAAGAAAAATTTGAATATGCAAACAGAAGGACATTCAAAGTGAAAGGAACAGCTGGAGTGTGATTTGATTTGGATTCTGAACTAAAAAATACACATATCTATGGAAAACATACAGTATGTGAGTGGTAAATAATTCTAAAAACATAGGAGATCAGATCCAATAATTTCCCATTTGGTTCTAATGATAGATCTTAATCGGGGGTGGGCACCCACCACATACTGTTGTGCTATTCAAATGCGAGTATGCCTGCACTAGAGTTGTATAAAACCAAGAGGTAACTGAGTAGTATTATAAAATCGTGAAATTACAAATGGAAGAACCATCCATTTATTTTTTATCAATATCTAAGTATAATGTTGGTGGAATTCACAAAATATTTTTGAAAGTTTCTTATCATCATTGAACTTTCTCTGATATTTAAGTATAACATTTTACAAAAAATCCAAAATGATGTAGAGGATCAGCTCTAAGTAATAGATACTACTGCCTGAGCTAGTACAGAATATACACCTTTTTTGAAATAGATTCTTGAGTTAGGCCTAACTTCATAATGATTTTCATTAAACTCACATACTGTAGGCTTTTCAAAATGTTTTTACACTGCCTTCTCAGTCATCTCAAGGCTTCTTTCCATCTTTTCACTGCACAGCACAGCAAAGAGTGGAATTAAACATGAAATACACCAGTTATACCATTATCAAATGATGAATCCATTTTCTGAGAGCCCTTTTCTCAAAACATATTAAAATGTTTTTCAGTGACTTGAAATTTGTGCCATTTTGTGCAAAAGAAAAGATGTAAAGGGAGTAGAGGAATCACAACCCACTGGGCCAAGAAGCAGATATGAACCCTATTGAACATATCAGGTCCAAGGTGGCTGATTAGACCATATGGAGTAAGTAACCCAATGAGGGGAGGGGTCACTCCCCCCTTCAGGGCTGCACCAGGGAGAGGCTGCAATCCCACAGTCAAAGACAGCTGACAGACTCAATGCCAAGGGTTAGACTTTGCCACATGTGGCCTTTTTAAAAGAAGTTAAATTTCCATGGAAAGAAAAAATAAACTTCACACATGTACAGCAGATAGATACTGCTCTTACAAATGATTGGAGACAGTGGCAATGCGATAACATTCATTGCTATTTTATGGTTGCGATATGAGAACATTCCGAAGAGTTTGGGAAGTACATCTCTTATACATTTACACTTACAATGTGGTCTAAGAACACTTAAAATAGAGACATGGTAAACAACTCACAAAAGCCAGCATCAGATTCATCATAATCAGTTTTAAGTTAGGTTTTAAGAAAAAATGAGGTCTGAAGTTTTGTGAGTTGTTTGGAACCGTGTTTGCTATTAGGATAACATAACGAGATATTTCTACCAGCTATATATATAAACTCTATGTATCTCTTATTTTTACTGAGAAGGCAGTGCAAAAACACACATATACATAGATATATGTATGCGTGTCAACATTAAAATACCTGCAACAATCATCATTGATGCCTCCAGTTGTTCTTTCCCCCTGGTTATCCTTCAAGAGATGGATGGTCAAATGGAGAGGGGTTTGCTGCTCGTCTGCCCTATGGAGCATCATGGGATCCCTTCCCCACTCAAGGGCCCACTAGCCTCACACGGGGTTTGGTTCATAAGCCGCTTACAATTAGATTATTAACTAGTATTGAATACTACCATAAAAACATGATTCCAGGAATCAATATTTTTCTTAGCCAGGATAGCCTGGAAAACTTATTTTATCTAATTTTAAGGCCACTATTCCCTCAGAACAGTGCAAAGAGTACACCAAAGGAGAAATATTATTTACAGTATGGCTTGACTGGGACTTGACAGTACTGTATATAACTAATCACCATCCAGGTAACCCTTCTTCTGGGTTGCTTTAACCTTATCTGACATATAGTAATTGAAGCACCATGCCAATCTTCAAAATACAACTTCACAACATTGTACAGTCAACTGCTTGTTTTAGCCCATACAGAGCTGACAGATTAGGAGCAGAGAGCTAAATGAATAGAGTTCAGCAAATAAGACGGTGGGATTGGAGAACACTCCTTTATCCTCAGTACTTCTGTCACATCGAAGAAATTGTAGATGGAAACCCAATTGAAGATGAGAGGATTCAAAAAACAAAATTCCAGATTGAACAAGAAAACAAAGCCCACAAACTGAGTAAAAGTGCAAATGTCTCCAATATTAAATTGACAGAAATATATACAAAAACAATAAAAATCCAGGTCATAATATTTAAAAATGCACGTAATCAAAGAAATGTTTCAATAGGGTTCATAGCTTTACTCTTGCAGGCAAACACCAAATGCACTTAGTGAGGGAGTTACTGCAAAGACTCTGCTTGCACAAAGAACCTGAAATGCTAATTTTAGGGATATATTGCTCGCACTGTGTCACACAAAACCTTTAAATCCTTGCATGTTGTATTAACAAAGTAGCACAGTACAGTAGTGCAAAAAAAAAAAAAATCGAATTTAGTCATAAACAAAATACACTGATTTCAGAAAATCAGTTTCAAAACATGGTGAGTTTGGATCCACTGTCATACACAATTGTAACTAACAGTGAAATATGACCAATAAAATTATGTTTGCTCAATTGGAAACTAGTTGTTGAAGAGGGAAATGATTGAAAAACTCCTGTAATAACATTTACATAACATTCAGTAGTTACTTTGACTCAAACCACTACTCAAAAGGTTGAGTTTCATGCAACACAATAGAACAATACTGCAAATAAGTGAAGGTTGTACTTCTCAAATTCTAGGAGTATACCCTCAGTGGATAGTTCCTTTGTGCAACCAGCATGTGTGTGTGCATGTGTTCTAGTCTCTAGAGCTTGTTGACTTACCTTAAATTGGTTACAAGATTGTTTTGTTTTTTTCTAATTTTATGAGGTCAATTACAAGGTCAGTTGCAAACCATAGGCTAATTTGGTGGTGCAACAGAGCAGGGGGAGGACAGGCGGCCCATTTTGGACTTCATCCCTTTCTAAGTAATTCACACGCTTCGCACAACACATATATAACACCACAGTTTAACATGCTTAGGGTAGGGCCTATTCCTCTTAGGCATGCCATGTGATGTGGCTGTGCTGTGTTGTGATATTGTGTGCTGTGAGCGTGTGTTGCCATCAGTGTTTAAAATGCAACCCTCCCACCCTTAACCTAATCTACAGCTTGGCAACACCACAAGTGACCAACCAGAAGCTTGACTAATGATGCATGAATCGTGCAAAGTAACACACAAGCAAATCCATCTAAACAATCGGGAGTATGCAGAGGCAAAAACAAACACACGCACACCATAGCTTCCAAAGAAAATAACTGGAATCATTCAGCCCGGCATCTCTGAAGCTCAAGGGTTTCCCACTGTACATATGTAGGTATGTCAAGTTTGTGCGCATGTATAGGATGTATGGGGATATGTTCTCTAAGCCCTCTCTCATTTAGGGGGGGGATTGTTTTACCTGTTGTGGATCTGAGAGTTGAAGTGACAGTGGAGGATGTCATTGAAGGCAAGCAGTCGTCATCTTGGGAATAACCAGCCTGAATTGCACGGAGGTAACTGTGGCTTCGAGTGCGGAACGAACCAGGCAGGTCCAAGGCCTCCATGGCCTGGGATTCTACTTCACTAAAAACGGACTCGCAAACTGACTCAAACTGGCCATTGATCTCAGTCTCACTCACCTGAGAGACAAAAACAGGAATAGCAGTCCTTAATTTTTCCTCTTCCTTTCTCTTTCTCACTTTGATTCTTCCCCTTTGCACAGCAAATATGAAGGAGTGTTAGCATAAGGAAATGCCACTGTCACTTCCGACCTTAAACTGAATAAATGTCAAGATCAAATGAGAAAAAGGGCAGATGACAACAAAAAACAATCAGAAAGATATTCAGTTTGTGTTATAAAGCATTCCATTTACCACAAACCCCAAAACAAAGATGTACTGTGCTGTATACTACTACATGGAAACTAGGAAAAACACACTGCAATTTCAGTTCTTTCAAGTGTCTAAGAAATATTCTAAGTTCTTCTAGCTGATATAAGATGAATTCATTTGTTGATGTCAAGATCATGCAACAAAGTCACGTAATTATAAAAAACCTATCTACCAAGTTCTATTCTGTTGTGTCCTGTCCTGTCCTCTTCACAGATCCTGTTCTCTGTAAGCTGTATTATTTTGGTAATATTTGAATTATATACACTCATGTATACTTAACAAAGTTAAAGAAATTAATATTGTCAATTGCCTTAAAAAGCATGTATGAATGCCTTTTTCGTATTACTTCAGTTTTAACATTCTAAATTATGTTACAGAAGACAGCTAAGTTTCACTGTTATTAAAGACCTTTTACTATTATTATCATTATTATTAAACTGGGTGTTAACACCCACAGGAGTAAGCTGATTGTACAACCCCTCTCTAGGGCCAAATTTCTTCTCCTGTTACTCCTTCTCCATATAGAGGCTCTGCAGCTGGTTTTGTCACAAATCTTCTTACTGTAGCAGTCACGTCTTGCCGCCATGGTCCAAAACACACTTGCACAATTGATCCAACTGTATAGTTTCGTAGCAGGATATGAAAAAGGAGATACCTGAAACGGTTGGTGTGTGATGTGAGGTTAGACATCAAGTTGTTGTAACTCTAGCCCTACTCTCTACTTCTCAACAGTAGTTGTTGTGTGAGAACAATTAGCTTAGTTAACCAAAACAAATGTTGTTAGATAGCTAACTATCTGGCATGGCACAACAACAGGAGAGTGATGAATCATGTATAAATGGCCTATTCCAGTCATCCTTGGGCCAAATCGGGATACAGGCTGTCTGATGTAAAACTGATATCTTAGTTTCTCAATTATTTACAATTTCACAAAACACAAAAACAGACTGTAAAAAACATTATACCATGCCTGGAGCTGATTCAGAGATAGGCTATTGGTTAAAGCAACAATTTCCAGTCCAAAACAGCACAAATTAATAATTTCTATTGACTTCAGTTGAGACAGCAAAGGCTATGTCTACTAAACAATCAACTGTGGACCTTTTAATATGGACAACTGTGAATGATTTATGTCTCTGTAATGCCCTCTTATACAAAAAACTACTACATACAAAACAATATGACATAAGCTGTCTTTCATTTCTCATGATTCTGTGCGATGCACGTGTTTGAGACTCACCTGGCTGACGCAGCTAGCCTGACTGAGGGTGCTGACGGCGCGCATGTAGCTCTGGTTGCGAGATCGGAAGGGCGGGGGATGAAAGGTGGTGGCAGGGTCCAATGTGACACTAGGGTGGGGCCGCATATCTCTTGTGGTTTGCAAGTGGTAGCCCTGGCTGAACAAGGACAGGGGGTAGGGATAGACATGATTGCACAATTCAAAAGCCACACAAATACTGTATATAATTGACTAGATAGCACCTATGAGCATAGTGTATCTTCTTTTTTGTACAATTCATGAGGGAATATTTCTGTCCAAAGTGAATATCTGCATGACTCATCTTCTTATGACACTGTCTGAACTATTGGGATCAACACTGCAATATTTTCAATGACTACACTTATTTGCTTCTAGTGTAGCTGTCCTATGAAAAAACAGTAACTCTCTCATTCCAAAACTAGAGAGAAAATGTGTACGGCTTGTCTCTGGTTCTTATTAGAGAAACAATGAGTGCTAGGAGCTGCAATAATAAGAGATTATTACATTCTTCACTAGAGGCTAAAAACAAGGGTGCTGATTTGTCTGTGTACAAAAGCAGAAGTGATCAGAACCCCACTGAGATGATGGTCATAAAAATAGCACTGAGCACTGAGTGGCAGTAGGGATGACGGATGCATGACGCCTCCCCTGGTTCACAGAACTTGGCTACATCTGAAAGCCACATGGCTCAAAAACAAACAGCCACTAGGGAACAGATACATGTCACCACAGATAGATGATTAGGAAATTAGTACATAAAGATGGAGCACTCCAAGAAGTCAGAGTTGTTTTTGAAAAACTGTTAAGGATCTATTGATCTACAAACTATATTGTGATACTGTATTTAAGGCTTCTGAATAATTAATCCCTCTTATTTCACAATCTACTTGACCACTGTAAAGAGTTTTGCAACACATCATTTGTGTATTTAAACTGATCATTATTATTGATAAATAACTTCTTACTATAAAGAAAAGTAGTTAACACCCAATAACTGTGGCACAAACTACAGCCTCTAAAATGACGATGAAGTTGAATCACTACCAGACAACAACAAAAGACAGTTTCAACAAAAACTGAACATTATAACCTTCACGGAAGTAGAATTTATTGTAACGTTGTTTTATTAAACTGCACTTATCTAGGTATACCTAATAAACTGGAAACTGGATGTATTTCAATGATTGTCTTTTTTAATCCAAAACAAAACAAAAAGCTAGGTGTAAGTAGTATAGTCAACACATTGTACCTTCCACCTGTCAATGTTTCCTCCATCCAGTAAGCCCATTTAAGCCTGCTCTCTTGAGTCTGACATTGTATAAATGTGACAGTTTTGCTACAGACTTGTCAACAACACTGTGATAAGATGAGGCCCATTGCCTGTGTAAGATGTTGGGCAAATATTGAACTAGCAGATGAAAAAGGTCACAAACACAAACCCCATTTGGTTCTGAAACGCTCAGCCGAGCACTACTTTAACTGCTCTCATGAAACAGTCATGGATTGAATACTTAGCCAACAGTGCTTAAGAGGATGTTAATAATGTCATAAAATAGGTACATCAAAGCTCTAAATAACAGCTTAATACACTTGTCCAGGCATGTGTAAAGTGATGTAAGACACAATAACAAAAATGAGTCCTCTCATTTTGTTGCCAAGTAACTTCTCTTGGAATCCCCAAAAAATCTTAAAGTTCTTCATATCTCTCTGGAATAGCAGCTGAGAAAAAATCACCAGAATTTGTTTACAGTAGCATGTAGTCAGCAGTGCAAGTCGTTTGTGCATGAAACTCTTCTTTATTTCTCTCAAATCTGCATTCTGGTCATTTCCCAAAGGTTAGTACTTGTTCCTTAAAATGCTACAGTGTGTGGAGTAGTTTTAATGCAGCAGTCTTACTGCAGTCCTGACATGCACTATCATAGCTCACTTAAATTAAGGGTGCTGATCAAAGGCTCGTAAAATATTGATGTAGCTTTGGAAATGTTACTCACAGGTTTCCAGCTGTATTGAAGCTTGAGAAAGTCAACACCTGAGCCAACCACCTACATGACAGCTCTGACACCATAATTGTATGAATGTGTGTTTGTGTGCATGGGTAAAGGTATATAGGCTCAATGTAGAATCTATGTACTATTTACCACTGCCTTTTTCAGTTACTGGAGCCAAAATGCAATTCCTGTCTTCAGAGTTGAGAGGATGCACACTGCAACAAAATCTTAGCATGTAATGATTAACAATTAGAGAAAAAAGCTGTTTTTCTTGTCCCTAACGCAGCCACCATTTTCTGAGCTATCCCTATGAATAATAATACATTTTAAAGAATGCCAGTTTCTCAAGGTAAATTTCTGAATTGAAATTGAAATCAACACACAGCTTTGGCATGGACATATTGAACTAGGCAGCCAGGCCTACCTTTGGGAGTCTAAATGGGATCTCTGCATGGCTGATTTGAGGACAAGAGCATCAGGCCGAATGGCCTTCTGTGGTGAGGTCTTAGGGCTGGTGTCAGAGTCACCACTTTCATCATCCACCTCTCCCATAGCTTTGACATAGCTACTGCTGCGCATCCGCCGACACGGGATCTCTTCATCCTTGTCGCCTGGGTAGCCACTCCATTCATCTTGGGGCACCTGTGGTAGATAACACACCTATATTAATCATTACATACTAGGGGTGTGATGATACTCTCAGCTCATGAGACAAGTGGATACACGATATTGGGTCCACGAGAATGAGATGAGATGATATTGATAACACTATTTTGAAGAAAACTTCAATGACAAAATATATGACTGGAAAAATAGTGTTTTATTTGACTGAATGTCACAAAATGCGAAACAATGCAGGTGCATTTGAAATGTTTTAACTATTCATCTTGTAATGAATATATCTTAAGTTCTACTTTTATATGAATAATCATATGTAGTAAAAGACAGAACAATATAAGCACTATAAAAGATTTTGCCACAAACTCAACTGACTGGCTTCTCTCCTGTATGATTACTCATGAGTCTTTTCAGACCTTATAACGGTGCATGAACTATGCATGAGCTTCTAGCTTCTAAAAATGCCAATGTCTCTAGTTATTGCAGTGGCTCTAGCACTTGAAAGTATAAGTTGAGATGCAAAGGCATTTTTCAGCGTTGTCTGGTCTTTTAGTGTTTTCTTCACAAGCACATTTGATTTTAGTAGAGAGCTGTGGTGGTTCTGTAGGTGTCTTTGCATTGTGCTCATGTTAGCTGTGGTCTACGGCACTATTTTCTTATAGTGCTTACATATTGTTCATGTTTTGTCTGTCGCCGTTTATTGTTTCCACCGGGTACCCAAAATGCTGCCACACAAAACATTTAAAAGTGGCGGGGCATTTTTTATGCTAATTTCACTGTCAGACTCTGTCATGTTGGCTGTTATGTACTGATATGGCAAGACAGCTTTTCACCTCAAGGAGAAATATCATCATGTTGTCATGATCTCATCACACCGATACTACATACACATTATAACCATAAGGTTATATTACTCTAAGGTATTACTTGTTTATTTCAGCTGGTATCTGTGGTGACTTGTTAAATGATGGAGTACAGATGTAGCAGTGGGTTATTCTGCTCAAAGAAAATATCAGGCTTGTACAGTGAGATTACACCAGAGATATTATTTGCAAGTAGAATGGGACCCTATTAGCCAAACGAGTGTGAGAACTGTATCAGACAAGTAGTTGGATAAGCTCTGGCTGGTTTTTCCCTAAACAGAAAATTAAGCTGATTCACATCCCTGGTTTCAAGCTCCACCTCTATTTTATTCATCTCTGAGCCTGGGCTCTCAAATTAAACAAGCTCAGTGCTTAACCTCAGTCCACCCATGAGAATCAGATGCAGTGTGTTTTTTTTTTAGCTAGGTTCCTGTCTGCAATCATGAACAGGCACTTTCTTTCATTCTGGAAATGAATAACATTAACTTTGTTAATGTAACTATGGAACTAAATGAGTTGCTGATCTGAAAGAGACACAACGCATGTATACCTCAAGTGTAGGAGATAAAGCAATACAAGGTAACATGTTACTGTATTCATATTATTTTAAATTTGATTTTGATATATTTTATACCTTTTTGAAAATGGTATTGGACCCCACTGTATATTTTAACAGACTAATATGCCTTGTATCGAGCAGGAATATTAAAACAGACAGACTTGGGAGAAATTCTCAATTTGTCTGTCTGTCATTATTCCTGTCATTGGTGCCCCCAAAGGAGCACGAGGAAACTGTTTCACTGTGGTTTGCCTATGGTTCTGAAAAACTTAAAAAACACTGTCTCTCTCCATGGTGCTGAAGCATTCAGATGCAGACTTTATGCCGTGTTTGAAATCATTGCTAATATTTGCTACCTAGTTGCAGTACATTTAGCATTTTATAGTCCAAATTGTGATTGTTCAGTGTGTAAAATGTATGCAATTTGAAATAACCTAAAAACCCCCACAATGAAAAATGTAGAGTCCAAAGCATACATATATTTTCTGCCTGTCGTAATGGCACATGTTAAGACCTGTCAGTGGCAGGACCTCAGTAGAATGTTTATCACTCTACCGAGGTCACTTGCTGTAAAGCTTGCACACCTATATTTTCTGAACAAATTTGAATCTTTTTATAGCTGACTGTTTGCCCAATATGTGGAAGTGTGGAAATTTGTATTTGATAAGCAGCTGGATAATCTCCTGCCTACTGGTTAAAGTGTAACGTAACTGAAGGGAAAATGTGTCTATAATGGAAAAATATTTTTTTACAGAGCAGGAGTCGAAACATATATTGTAGTTATTGACTGTATTTCACAGACTTTTATCGACAGCTACAATGTGCAATGAGGGTGGCAGATGAAGTGTAATGATGGTGCACAGAGTCTCAGCTTTTATAACACATATATAGTAACATTACAGTAATACCATACACCACCTTTTTAATACTAACTGTTATAAACTGACAAAAGGTTGCACTGCCCAGAAGGCAGACCAGTTAAGAGTTGTAATCTATGCAGCAAATTTAGGCCCATGTGATTTTAGACAAAACAACTTTTTTTCATGTTGATTGAATGAAAAAGTCATTTGTAGGGCACAACTGACTGTTAATGAGGTATAAAGTAGAACCAGAATTATCTATATTTGGCTTTTCTTTATATTAAGATCAGACTTTACGGTAATATGTACATCAAATGTCAACATGTCAAAAGCTAAGAATGATAAATTTCAGTGCAGGAAAAAAGAAGTATGTGATAAAGGTTTATACTGTATATGTCTAACATGCATGTCGTTCATGAAAGGGAAAAAAGGCATACCACATTCGAATTTGGGGTTAAAAGTATGTGTGTGCATATACATGTGTGGGTGTAGGTGGCTTATGGGAAATACAAAGGCAGTTGGACAGATCAAATAATAAAGACTATGGAGAATATTTCAAAGGGAAAAAGATTTTCTGGTAGACATGGAAGTTAAAGTGTACAATGTTTTCATGTGACAGACAGTGATTCAAGCTATCCCCCGTTCATTAAAGCTCCTCCATTTGCTGTCCTAAACACCTTTTGTCAATTAGGTCTTTCTTGTTAGAATCCTTTACTGCACTAAGAGCAGTGTGCATTATGGTTCCGACAGCAGCAACAGCATTTGTCTGGAATAAACACAAAAACTGGGTAACCGCTGTTTTTTAGCCTGACTCTGGCTGGAAGTGTGTGGGGGACTGTAAGTGAAAGCTCTTTCCCATTTCGACTAGTGGGTGGTAATAACAAGTTGCATCCTGTGAGGGAATTGGTCATGTACTGTGGGTTTAATATAAACAGAGAAATAAATTGATAGTGCTATGGGTTAAAAGCAGCACCTTATGTATATGTAGTGTAAATATGTTTTTGCAATGTTTGCATGAGTCTCTTCCAGATATTTGAGTCTCTTCGCACAGTCCACCTTGGTAATTATCAAAGCAGAGCGTTAAATCAAAGTTAACACCAATACTTTTACAGGTTCTTTTTAGAAAACTATGCATTCACCTTGGTGTTTTGAAAAAAAAATTGTTCTTTAAACCAAATATTGGTAGAAACTCTTTTCATATAAGTCGTATATCTTTTAATAAATTATAACCAATAACCAAAAGCGGCATGACAGTATGACAGCCAGATGACAATATTTCCAAAAACTGTAAAACTTTAAAAATCCACCCTTCCATTCATTAATGTTTAATAGACTCCATGTTAGTGGTTTGGGAGAAAATTCACTCAAAGGAGTGTGGGTGAGATTCATCAGCACATTTGTAGAAGGAACTCAAATGCTACTTTTTATAGGATCATCAAACCAGTTGAATGGGAAGAGTAAAACAACCTCTGAGAATAGCACTCATATTACAAATCAAAGCATGAGCATACTTAATTCAAGGATTTTATTCCATTAATAGAATTTCCCTCACCTTTGGCAGTGATTGTGTATTTTTATGCTTGCACAGCAAAAGTTGTCAATCATATCCCTAAGGCTAGAGCTGTAAGTTTTAAATCAGCACACTGTCATTAATGGCACAACGTCACTACTAATAAAACATACGAGTTCTTAAATTTGGCTGACAGCCAAAGGGGCACAACATGTGTTTCTGACATACTGTAACTTAAAATCAATTCTAAAGTGAATGTGATCAAAAACTAGAGAAATAATCAACAAGGTACATAATCACTGCCATAACATCATGTAGTATAAATAGCTTTGTTCATAGTGTTCATAGTCTAATAACTGTACACAGTGATTGTTCTTAATATAACAGCATCAAGATTAAATGATTATGAGCTAGTAATTATACACTGTGAGTGCAAATGTCTACACATAACCAACTGCTTATGTATTGACAATGAGTAGGTTTTAATTAAGATATTGATGTGATAGAAATCAAGATATCATACATCAAGTTTAACTCCTAGCGATTACCCTCAATATTTTTGATTGTCATTTTGACTACACAGTGTATGTTTAAGCTCACTTGTTTTTACTGAGATTGAACTGTGACTAATATTGACAAGTCCCGTAATTCATGGGATCAATGCCCCTCCCGAACACACTGTGGTTTCCCCCTCCTAATGATGGAGATTTACAATGGCAATGTGTCACACACTACATGGTCTGGCACCATATTGATCAGGCATGTAGTGAGTACAACACTGTATCAGTGTGTGGTTCAGCTGGAACAGCTGTCCCAGTGGAGAGGGTAGCCTTAGCTCTTGAAACAACAGCCTCAAGCACAGGGCTGTCCTTAATGCTCTGATACCCAATCATATAGCTTGGCTGTTTCTCTGTCACAGTCGCTGAACTGTTTTTACAGAAAGCAGAGTGGCTGATACTCCCTTTTTTTGCCTTGAGGTAGAATAAGGCTTTCCTTAACACTCCTGTTCTCACTTTTTGTTCTTGTCGGCCATCTCTCCCCCTCTCTCTTTTCTTTAACACCCACTGTCCTCTCCGACTTGACAGTCTGCTTCAGCAGGGCAGACAGGTGAAGGACGAGACAGCATTAGGCACTTACATGAAAACGATGGACATTTTTCTCCTCTATGGGAGATGGCAAATGGGGAAAAGCAGAAAGATTTAGAGATGCTAATAATAGCATCAATCCGATTGCTTTCCACCATCATTAATCTAGTGTATTTAACTTAGATGTTTTCTCCAAATGTTTTTATAGTCAAGATAAAAAGGCTTCTGAAGCATGTAGACCATATGCTACTAAAACTCTCCTTTGAATCCAAAACAAATGGACTTTTAGGCAGCATGCACATTTCAGCATGCAACAGCAGAGAGAGGAAAATTAATGATCATCATTCAGTTTGCTAAGGTTGTATATCAGGCTTCATCTTTGTGTCATCTGCTTAAAAGGGGAGGGAGGGAGTACTTTCCAACCCTGCCCTAGTGGGGAAGGTAACATGAGAATTAGCTGGCTTGTTTCCTTCAAAGACAGTAAAACTATCACACATGCTAATCTGCTATGCATACATTTATTCTCTCCCACGAGTGGAATAAAATGCAGAAATTGTCTGAAAACTAAATGAATCAGGCTTAAAGACGGCAATAAAGTAAAAGAATCATTTGCTACCTAATGCATGACCATTGATTGTCTGGGGCTGTGGTTAACAAGGCAGCCATCACTCATGGAAGCATTGCACTAGCTCATTAGCATTACCTTATTTCTGTGCTCATTTTGATGCTACACATGAAAGAACATGCTCAGCTGTGCCTATGAGGCAGCTAGACAGACAAGCAGCTTTACACCATCATTAGTTACAACTAAACACTGAGAATACTGTGTGCAAAAATAACCTTGTGTAGCAGGTGTCAACGTATGTCAAGCAAAAAAAAAAAACAAAAAAAACACTGACCTGTAAGAACTGGTAGAACAATTTGCAGTTCGTAAGTGAATGAGTCCCGAAATTTCCACAGGACAGTTCCACGCAGTTAGTTATTGGATGCTAAAGTAATAAAATATGGGATTTGTAACACTGATCACAGTCTACTGAATTCTGAAGGAGGTTTTGACAGTTTAGCTTCCTACTTATTACAGTAACTGGAATAAGCAGGTGCATGCAGGATGTTCAACCCGCTTTGACAGGAGTGTAGACTATTACCCAAACCTGTCTCCAAAATTGTATCTGTTGATTGATTTGGGCATACAGTACCACATTCTCTAAGTGCCCCAAAGAGACATAATTTGTTGTAATGGCCACTATGTATCATTGGGAGGACACTAGCTCATCTTTAGGGTTGTTACAGTTGATAATGTAATAGAGACACTAAGGAGAAACAAAGTTCCTCCCCAGATAATCTTTTCAAATTCCTTGCCATCGCCTGAGAGATTTCATTATTACACTAAAAGGAAAACACTGCACTGGCTACATGTCAAACAAGGAAAAGCAAGAACATGATTTATTGAAGCAATTTGATTTCTGGAATACTGTCTAAACCTTGTACAGTTTGCCCTTACGCCACACTCAGTACTGTTTCTCACCTTCAACACATGCTTCAAGATCTTGGGACCACGCCAAACCATTATTTGTTTACCCAGATTAATCCTATTATAATCAAGTATTTCTCTTAGACAGGATTCCTGGCCAAGTTAGCAAAAGAAGATATTATATAATAATTGAAATTCAATCTTCGAAACATTAAATCAAATTTAAAAAAAAAACACTATATAGATACAAAAAAAGAAGAAAGAAAAATGTTTTCACAAGTTTGTTTGTAAGACTCAGTGATTGATAGCAGAAATGCAAATAACATTCATTTATAAGTCTACATATAATGTAAATTGTCAGTTACCAGAAACAATAGTTCAAGTAGTAATTTGTAAAATCACCGTGAAACATTCTGACAATGCACAATATGTCTGAATTGATGCTCATTAGACTCATTTAGAGCTTATGAATTATGCTTTTCAGCTGAAAATGATTACAGCATTCTTTATGCTTCACTGAAAGCCTAATTTCAGGTCCTTTTCTGACTGTCTGATGTTTCATGATGGTTGTTAAGATTTATAATATCATATTTAGTTATTTTTTTCACAATGTGTAATAGTCATTGTGATTCACTTAAGCTTCAACATACAACAGGGTTAGGGGGCTAGCCAAAAGACTTGACAATTTTGTGTCAACAACTTGCCCAAGGCAGACCTGTCCTCCTCATCACAAATGAACACAGACCCGGACAGAAAGGACCCGGACACATCAAACAGATAAAATCCGATGAGCACACAGTGTTGACCACAAGGACCGTGTACAGATCTTCCCTCACTTATTCCACTGAATAAAGCTCTCAATGTGGACATACTGAATGTGTTCATGTGGCAGCTGCAGGGTCTCTGCCTGCTGACACACAAGCTTGTCAACTGCCAGTGAAAGAGCCTCTGTATTGACAGAGTCTGTCTGTCCCCATGGCACACAAACAACCGCAGTTTTTGTGCCTATGTAACTGTGCACTCCACATAGCATCAAAGTGCATGCACTGGGCAAAGATTCACCCTCTTCCCCCTCTCTAAGCATGGGCAGCATGGACGGAAATGCATCCAGAACCTAATGTATGGTAGTGCATGATTTCAACTCAGTTTTCAATTTTCCTGGAATTGGGTGCAAAAGCAAGTGTGGGCAACAAATGTCTGCATCTTTGGTGATTGTGTGAGGCACAAGCACAATACTTACAGGGCACAATGTGAAAAAAGAAATTGAATCAAAGATGGCCAAACCCCCGCACACTTCATTGTGTTATTGAAGCCAGCCCCTGTGGCCAAACTAGTTCAGTGTCATGTATCAGTTGTGTAGCAAAGACAGAGGCCTAAAAACTGTATATAACATAATTCATGTCAGTATTAGTGCACAACCTGCTAGAACAGCTCTGCTCTTTGGAACAGCTTGTACATTGCAATCTAACTCAGGTAACCCTTTATTCTCAGTGGTCTTCCACTATGACATCAATTCACTCAATTGATCTCTGTGTCTTAATAGACAATAGCTCCCTGAGGTGACTACACAAAAGGGAATCCTTGTTAAATATATTGGCTTCTCACACTCATGGTCACTGTAATTGTCCTCAAGAGAGTAACAGAACAGAATCCGAAAGGCTGTCCTGGCAGGATTTCTAATCAATATATCAATCACTGCATCTTATTCAGAAGGGCCTCTATAAGGATGAGTGGATATTGATCTCAGTTATTGTTTGTTATAGTTTCAGATAGGTGATGCTCAGGGTTTCTGTGCATTTTACTGCCCTTTCAATCTACCACTAAAGTTCAGCCTTGAAATACTGTCTTTTTTTAAGGGTGCATTATCGAGAGAGTAATGTGGGCCTACATAGGCAGGTGCAGAATGCATGTACACTCTGCCTGTTACACACAAGCAAAGTGTGTTGAAAATGCGCTTCATATGTTTGGATAAGTCAGGTGGAAAACATTAATGTTCTGGCCATTCAAAACATAAATAAAGTAAACTAACACCCACCTGCAGATAGTGACATGTCCGTGATGAAGGTTTGAGGTCCATGTGCATCATGGGTTTCTCTAGATTAAGCGATGACTTCCTATAGGCCTCCTTAGCCTGGCTGACTGTCAGTGTTGACCAGGAGCTCCTCTTCATGAATTTGCCCTCGGGTGCCATGGCCATGCTCTCACAGGCTGAACACTTGACATCATTGTTACTCTTAGAGGTCTTGAGAGACAGGTCTCCAAAGTGATGGCTGTGCATGGAATCTGGGTAACAGTGGCTAACATGTTCCCCGTGGTGCCGCGACATGACACTGGGCGTGCGGTACGTGCTGTCACTATCCAGATTGTCGTCAGAGCTCCACCAGCCACCAGAGCGGTGCTTACGTTCTTTGCTTTTGCTCCTCTTGCTACCATGTTTGGTGGAGTGGTGGCTATGATGGTGATAACCCCCTACTCCTCCACCTCCTACAATATCACCTTTTGTGCCATTCATCTTGGATGATCCTTCCAGGGAGTGAGACTTGGTGAAGAGCTTCTGGACAGAATGAACAAGGTGTCGGATGCGGCCAGGACTCTCGCTGCGTTGCTCAGTGGTGGTGGAGGTGCGCTGATACTGTAATGTGTGGAAGCCATCACGGTGTAGTGGCATTTGTTTCTCAAATTGGTCTAGTAGGTTAGCAGGAAGGCGGTTGCTTTTGGTGCCGGCGTGGTGGGAGGAGGCAGCCGCGGCGGCTGCAGCAGCAGCAACAGCTGGGGAGGTGGCAGAAGCTGTGATGGCAGCGCAGTCGTCCCGTGTGGCTGAGTCATAATACTGAGAGCTGTAGTGCATTCTGGGGAAGGTGCTGCTGGAGATGTGGTCAGATGCAGCTGCTGGGGGCATCATGATAGGGGACATCATCATGCAGTCAGAGTGGATGGAACTGCGAGGCGAGTAGCGGTGGTGGAAGTCCATGGGGCAGCTCTCTGTGGGGCTGAGCAGGTAGGACGAGTGGCGGGAGTCAGAACCATGGTGTGCATGGAGGTCATGGACGTGGGGGTCGTAGTCCAAGCCATGGGGTAAAGGGATCTGGTGCTGGGAACGGCTGCCCGATAAGCCCTTCATGTTCCTGGCCGGAGGGAGGCGTCTGCCTTCATTGAACTTTCGAGACGAGGACCAAGGTGAAAACTTCTGGTCTGTTACAGAGATAGGGAAAGAAAGAAGAAAATAAAAAAAGACTGAGTCAGAGAGAGAATAGCTCTGAACAAGCATGAAGAGTTATTCTGTTTATAGCCCAAAGCCCCATAATTTGAAATTGCTATTGTGGTTCTCCTTACAAGTAACATAATTACAGATAAAAACTCCCATGGGAATCTCAATGACAAGAAATCTCTTTATCTCAGAGACACTGAGAATTTTTGTGCATTTACATGAGTGTATGTAAATATTTAAGTTTTCAGCATAGTATATACCGAGGAACCTATAATGAGGTAAAAACTCTTGCAAAGAAGAGATCATGTCAAGAGAGAAGTTACTTGACTTTTACCGTACACATGGAAATATGATCATTTGTAAGAATGACAACTCTCTTAAACTCCTTAATGATGTCAGAAATGAGGGTTAACTTCCAGTATAAAAAAGACAAAGAAGACACCAATCCTTGTACTGGTTTTAATATAGTGTAGAGGCAAAGATATATTTCTCAAGAGATATATTTCTCTTTGACGTCAGGTAGAAATCCTTTCTCCTCTTCTACAGGCAAAAGGTTTGTACTTGGATTTAATGACACACTATCACATATCTCATCTCATCTGAAAGGAAGTTGTTCCTCTTCTGCCCCCAAAACAGCTTGGAGGGTTTAAAGCTCAATGACAGGGAATTTATTTCTAATGTATAATTTGTCAAACGTTACTGATTATCTACTTCAATTTACAATGACATGAATAATCTCCTGGAATATTTTTTGCGTACAACTGATTTTATTGTTTTCTGTAAAGGAAGAAGCGAGTTTTCATTTTTTAATAAAGATAATTCTATGTAGGAGAAAAATACAAAAAGACAAAATCCATATACCATAGATATTTATTGGTGAGACACTAAAAATCATGAATGACATTTGTATTAATATTAGCTTATTGATAAAATGCCATATTTTAGATACATTATTGATTTTAAAAAAAAAAAAAAAGAAAGAAAAAAAGAAAAGAGGACCAAGAATGAGGTGACAAAAAATGTTGTTAACAATGGCTGCAGCTCAATACAGTATGAATAAATGAAGTAATATCTGAAGGTAATGGTGGCTGTATGAAATTCACATAACATTCTGTTTCAACCGGATATTGCGTATGTCAGAGTACATAAGCGAGGCAGCATCAAAATCTCTTTACCCTGTGACTTCAATAATCAACTCAAGACATTTTGGCAGTATAAAACCAGGAAACATAGAACACAGACCATAGGAGTTTACCTGATCCCTTCTAACAGTGTGCTAACAAGCTATGCTAGACTAGGCACAATCATTAGGCTAACCCTTTAAAAGCAAAACTCCAAATTGCTTTAGTTCGTCCAGTATAGTCCTTCATTGGAAAACCAGATTCCACAACAATCCTGTGAGTAGAAGGAAGCTGATTCTCTCAACAAATTGAGCTAACTCCTCTGAAATCTGTGATAAAAGTATCCTTTCTCAATTCTCAATCTCTGCAGTGGTGCAGCAGTTGTTTGCTATATGCATGATTATTTTGAGAAGAGATGTGCACATCACTGGGCAATGATCACAAAAAACAAGGAATTTTGCTCAACTTCAAGGAGACTTTTAGATGAGAAATGTTTGTAGCTTCTGCATGAGGGGTTAAGAAGTTCAGCATAATCTTCTAAATTCTTTTGCTCTTCCAGTCTCTCGAAGGTACTCAATGGTGAATGCTGCTTAGGCTGCCATGATATTTTCTCTAATATGTTCATTCTGTACAATGCTGAAATAATATGCACGTGGGAAGCTCATAGTTTATTATACGCAACATTTATTATATTCAACATTTACCATTGAAAATGAAGATACATTAAAATATACTGAGCAAGTCAGTTCCATCCCGTTCATTCCTCATCATCATATTATGATAGCATCATTTCTTATTGTGTTGCCTGTAATTATGGAGACTTTAATGTTTTATAGAATGCTACAATTGTTTAATTTCTCAGATTAATACTGTAAGAACTTTAATGTGTGATAAATGAAAAACAGACCTACACTTCCTGTGACAAATCTTTGAAACACAAGAGTTTTATAATTAATATCTGAGACATACTGTAGGATAAGTTTAGTGTTTCTGCAGCTGGTAATATCCCAACGGTAATGTGCTAAAACTCAGAAGCCACAAATGAATGTTAACTCTTTGGAGTGTTTTGTTTGAATTCAGTTGTCCAATGTCTGTCTTCAATTTTCATTTCTAGATTCATTGAAGTTAGTATTTCAGATATTTGTGATATTAACCAGAGAAATCCAATCTCTTGACTTTATTAACATATTCTTTCAAACTGGGAGAAAAGGGGTTTCTAATTTGAAGAAAAAAAACATTCCAAAAACATACATACATATACAGACATATTTTTATAAGCAAATTTTTTCCTAAATTGGAGCCTATAGTAAAATTGTGTAATCATAGATTATGTTAGATTATGTTTGACTATACTGGTGATAAGCTACTTTAGATCCTAAGTTGATGCCACAGTGCCCAGTTTGTCCTGTAATCCCATTTAAGTTAATACATAATTTCCCAGTCCTGTTTATTATAATTCCATTAATATAAATATATATAGTAAAAATATATGAATAAATATTAATTCTCTGTTGTTAAAGGAACTACTTATATTATTTTCCATTTTCCTCTCTCTCACAGATACACACGCGTCTTTATTATTTAAACTCAAAAAATCATTGAAGCTCGCCCTTATTTACAATGATGTTGATTAACAGTTTAAAATTACTTATAAAAAACATACAAGGTAAATGAAAACAAGTATATAAATACAGTTGACTAAAGATGCTGGATTCAGAATTCATGAAAGACAAATCAGCTAAAATGGATACAAACAGTAGCTGTGTAATTTACGAGCATGGATTTAAATAAATTGTAAAGAGTTCTGGGACATAGGAGCATAGAATCTAAAAGCAGACTTTGCCAGCTCAGTACAGACTTGAGGGACTTTCAGTGAAAGCCAGTCATTAGAACGAGTTTGATATGGCCCAGAGCACCAGTCTAGCATAGAAGTGATATAAGATGGCAGCTTCAAAATGAAGGCCTTGTAGACAAACAAATACATGTGCCTATCATGTCTTTCAGACACAGAGGACCAACCAACTTTTTCTTACTTTTTCTACATAAGTAATGTTGGTATCAGTCCAACATTACTTATGTAGAAGCTGAGAATGATCAACTGTGTTAAATACCCTGGAGAGGTCTACAAAGATAGATTTTCTCATCCAAGACACTGACGATGTCATTCACAACTTAAGTGATGGCAGAAACAGTGGTGTGCATAGGCCTGAACTCAGATTGATTGGTGGTAAAAAAAAAAAAAAATACATACACTGTTGCTCATAAAGTTGGAATAAAATATTGATGTGATTTATTCTTGACAGATAAAGTGTATATCTTCTCAAAACTTTAGTAGTCAATCTCTTCCAAACATATCACAATGAAAATGAAACCACAATTAAACTGAAAACAAAATTATTCCAACTTTATGGGCAACAGTGTATTTGGATCACTCGTATCTTCTCCCCTATGTAAGGGGATGACATGAGCAGTTTTCTAAGCTCTGAGAACAACACCAGTAGAAATATTAAGATCAAAAATGTGAGTTATATGCTCAGGAATTCATAGAGCAGAAAGATGAAGGGGAAAAAAAAACATCCATATTGTCTTCACCAGTAGATTTCTTAAGATCAATGGCTTGGAGAGCCTTAATAACTATGCTGAGAGATGCAGTATCAAGAGTATATGAGGCATGATTTGAAGTAGATGCATAATAAAAAGATGGTCATTGTTAGAAAGTCTTGATCATGACTTCTGTTTTTCTGTGGGTCGAAATACAAGAAGACTTTTATAACAGGCAGCAGTGCTCAGCTTCGTGCATGACAATTACAGTGTATATCTTATCAGTATGTGATAAAAGCTGTAAGGTAAAGAGGGAAACAATGTTGGAGCACTTTGAGTGTCTTCCATTCCCCTGTAATTAATTGCTTTAAGTTCTTTTCAGCAGGAAACCCCAGTCTGGAACGATGCACATCGTCTTACATAACGTTTGGGATCTGTGATCTCACACACTATTTCAAAGGAGCCAGAAATAAAATGCACAGTTGTCATGGCAACCACTGCTGAAAACCTAGGAACTCTAATAGGATTTTCAAGGTTGTTTGGGGTGGATCCTAGTCTCAAAAACAGGGAAAAAAGAAACATACACTATGTAATATGTTAGAGACATTTGAGCTAGATTTGCCATATGAGCTATGGGTTGGTGCACCTTTAAAAATTGCACCACATTTGTACAGTTCGAATAAATAATGAATTTAAGTACCCGCTTGGAGACTCAAAACGGCTTTCTTAGAACATTGCTGAGGAGAATAGTAATTATTGTTTTCATTTGAGTAATGTCTTTCTTTAAAACCCACTATTATTCATTATAGGGTGTAATAAGCCGTATTACCTGATTCATTTTCACATTTCATATTTGTCTTTATTTTACCAGAATTTGTACATTGAAACATTGTGACAGAAATTGTGAACTGTAGATATAGTCTCATAGAGCTTGATTGTAATAATGACTGTGATAAAGCTTCTGTGTTCCTCTCTTTATCTCATTTCCACCATCATAGCTCTCTCTTGTCTCCCCAAGTCCCCTTTCACTATCTCTCCACTTTGAACCACATTGAAGTAGATGACATCGACCGGTTGCTGAGGCAACAAAATGTGTCAAATTAAAGCTTACAATAGTAATGAATGCACACAGAGATAGTGTGCACATACATACACACACCATGCTCTGTTATGTACAGTATAATGCAGTACAAACATGTACTTCCAGACATACAGCAATGCAGTTTTCAGACTCTGTCAGTATGCTTATGGAAACCCACAATATACACCAAGCAGTTTATTAGGAACACCATTCTAATGCTGGGTAATTCCTCCCTTTGCAG